CACTAAAGTGTTAAAATAAATTTAAATAAAAAGTCCAGACTTTTATTAAAAATCCTTTAATTAAACTAAAAGCATAACAACAAAAGCTTTTGATAAGTCCTTTTTTGCTAAAAAAAATGGATCCACCTACGTAATCCTAGGGTCAATCACAACTTCCAGAGTTGTCCAAGATGACGAAGACTCGACTAAAAAAATATAAAACAAGAAAAAGTAAATAGAAATAATAAAGAAAAAAAAATACCTGCCGTCCCGTCCGCTCACGACAACTCCCGCCGCAGAATGGCTATCTGACGGATGCTGGAAAAATATAAATTGGGCGGAGCTGGCAGTGACAACTGGCTAGCTCCGCCCAACTGTTTACATTTGTCCGTCATCTGACAGGACTTAGCTGTGTCAGCCATGATTGTGCAAAGTTATCATGACTTTGCTCAATCATGGCTCTCACAGTTCTCTGTGCTGTGATTGGGTAAAGTCTTGTACCTGACCTGTGGTTAGGTGCATTGCTTTACCCAATCAGGGCTTCACAGGGCACAGTTTGTGTGTTCGCCGAACACACAAAATGCCGATGTTCAATTTGAACTGTTGTTCGACTCGAGCATCGAGCCCATGCCTAATTACTATTACACACAGCACCTCTTGCCCCTTTTTTACATGTTGTGCCTCCTGCATCTATATTGTATGCAGTGCCTCGTGCTTTTGGATTACACGCAGTGCCTTGTGCTTTTGGATTACACGCAGTGCCTTGTGCTTTTGGATTACACGCAGTGCCTCGTGCTTTTGGATTACACGCAGTGCCTCGTACTTTTGGATTACACGCAGTGCCTCGTACTTTTGGATTACATGCAGTTCCTCGTGCTTCTGGATTACACGCAGTGCCTCGTGCTTTTGGATTAAATGCTAATCCTGCATTCCTATAAAAATCTCCGCCTCATACCTTTCTACAGCACACTATGCTCTCTACTGCAGTGCCTGATGCTTTTTTTTAAATGACATTCAGTGCTTTTTTGCCTTTCCATTACACACATAGCCTCTAGTGCCACATGCCACTCTATTACATGTAATTGATTATGACTTACACCGAAGTAACACGATATGGTCAAAAAAATCCTTCCAGCCTCCTGACTGGGTATTGATGGAACAGCAACATATTGATTAGTAATGAAATGCTCAGCCTGCTCTTTTATCTTATTAACATATTCACTATGCCGCAGAGAAGGATACTTGCTCTCTGTGTTGAAGCAGTGGTCTCTCTGCAGAGGTCCACCATACCCCCAGACGAATCACAGCTATAGCTTTCCAATTAGCAGGGAGCTTGAGCTTTGCTGATTGCAGACCTATAGTTCTAACTCAGCAGGGGTTGTGTCAGACCTCTGCAGAGAGACCACAGCTTTAATTCAAAGAGCAAGGGTCCTTCTGTGCAGCATGGTTGTGGGTGACAGGCTTTTTTGACTTAGTCTGCAAAAGAAACAAAGTGTAAGACTTTGTAAACCTTTTGATTCTGAGGCACTTGCAATGTGCAATATATTCAGCTAATTTAAACTGAACCTTCATTTGGGCTTTAAAATCGTCTGTATTTACAAATGTTGTGACAAACCTCATTCAGACAAGGCTTTAAGGTTCCTGCCGCAAGAATAAGTGGATTCTTGTGGACGGAATCGTAGGTGGCAAATGTGGCCGCTCTACTTGCACAAAGCAATGACAGGCTGACTGCAACTTTAGCCGCACGCCATTGTGTTCAGATGTAATCTCACATGGAGCGATCACCTGCATTAAAGACAGATATTTATCTCTGCACACAAGCTTGCCTTCCCTATGCAAATGTTAATCACATGAAAACAAGCTTGTAAACTACAATTTTTTGGTCTGAATTACCTTTTTGTATCAACAGTATAGACTGGAGGCCAATCCTTTTGTATAATGCTCACCTAATTATAATCCCCTAGATACCAGATTTGTGGTAAGGATATTGAACATGTGATTATTTACATCCACAGGACCACCGATTGCAGCAGTATTTGGTTATAAAGAAATTATGTATATATTTGTAATCTGCTGAACCACACTTTATCAAAGTCATATTGGTGATGCCTGTGGGGACATTATGTGGGTGAGAGGCTTCTGACCTTCAAATACCATCTGTTAATTAATCTGCTGTATACTGTTGTCTGCTGTAACAATAAAATGGATGAAAAGGTATTTGGTGAGTTCAGCTATCTGATGAGGATTGTCCGCAGTGATTATATCTGCTTATACAGGCCAGGCATAGAGGTCTCGGCAAGGAATAAATTGCTAATACAACAATCGGAGTCAGAATAATCTCCAATTTACAAGCCAACCTGAATGCACTGTATGGTCGGGCAACTATGTGACTAATGAGGTTTAACATTGATAAATGTAAAGTTATGCACTTGGAGGCTAAAACTATGCATGTGTCCTACACTCTATGGGGAAAACAGTTAGGGGAGTCAATGACTGAAAAGCATCACAGTGTTCTGGTAGACCAGGAGTGGGGAACCTCTGGCCCTCCAGCTGTGGTGAAACTACAAATCCCATGATGCATCTGTCTCTGGGAGTCATGGAGTCATGCCTGTGGCTGTGGGAATCTTGGAGTGCCTCATTGGATTTGTAGTTTCGTCACAGCTGGGGGAGGTACCCCACCACTGTGGTAGACAATAGACTCAATAATAGCATGTAATGTCAAGCCGCAGTTTCTAAAGCAAGCAAAATACTTTCTTGTATTAAAAGGGGTATAGACTCCAGAGAGAGAGAGAGACCTAATCCTGCCCCTGTACAAAGCATTAGTACATAGACCTCATCTGGAATACGCAGTTCAGTTTTGGGGGCTGGTTCTCAAATAGGATGTTGTGGAGCTGGAAAGAGTGCAGAGAAGGACAAAAAAACCTGATAAGAAGCATGGAGGAGCTCAGCTATGAGGCAAGATTAACTGAATGGAATTTGTTCTTTATTGAGAAGGGGTGATTAAGGGAGACATGATCACCATGTATAAATACATAAATGGTTCATATAGTGAACTTGGTGCCAAATTATTCACTTTAAAGGAGAATTATGACCTAAGAGCAAATAAAAGTACTATTTGCCTTTACTCTATTAGCATTCTTCTTTTCCAAAGTCGCAGCACATCCCAGATAAATTAATCACAAGTCACAGAAAACGGCCACCTACAGCTCTGCTCCAAGCTTCTTTGCTCTTAGGGGGCGTTAACAGTGAATGCAGCCCCACCCTCAGCTTTTTTTTCTAACTCTATCTGCCCTGGCCGCGCTTTCTCTAATCATGCACACTGTGTATGGCTGGAGTGTGCACGCTGACATGTGGGAGCAGGAGGCAGAGTGTCAACTGAGAACCAACAAGCTGACTCGGCCTCCCTTCTCTTTCCATCTCTCTTACCAGTATTTCCCTCTCTCTTCACCGATCTACTCCTGCTGTGCCTCACGTAATCAGATGCAGCAGCTGTAAGAAAACCTGTTCCCCATAAATCTTAGTTCCCCCTGCCGTTCAGCTATTACCATAACCCCGCCCCTTCATTACAGCAGCTTGGTATTAACATAGCTCTGTTCCCTCTCTCCAAGCTCCGTTGTTCTATGAGAAAGAGACTAACGTTTCCTCTCACATTGTGTGCTCTGATCGTTCAGCTTCCACCTCCCCACCCACTGTACAGGAAGTCTCTGACTTGTCTCTCCATCACATGTCAGCGCTCTCAGTGTTGTGTTGCTGCAATCTGATATTTCCTGTCACATTCTGCTGATGATAAAATAGGCTGTAAAATAATCATTATTTTTATATAGTTTCTTTATTGCTCATCATGTGAGCCTTTTTAAAACATTTTTTTCATATTTTATCTTTATTTGTTTTTTTTTACTTTGCTGTTGGGGGCTCTGAAGAAATATCAGGGGTCTAAACAGGGTTCTAAACAGATCTGTTCAGACCCCTGATATTTCCCTTTTAAAATAGAAAAAGGGATTGAGTACACAGAGTCATCAATCTCTTTTTCTGCAGCCCCTGTTATGAATGAACGGGAAGCCTGTATACCAGTGGTTCTCAACCTTTCTAGGGCCTGGGCCCCTTGGTAACATTTGCCAAGTTGTGGTGACCCCACCAACTGTAAAATTATAATTTTTTTCTTTTAAATTTCTAAAATGTTTATCTTAGCTTATCTTTTACTTTTTAATTTTTGTTATAATTTTCATTTAATGTTTTTATCACTTTTTTAAAACTTTTTAGCCATTTTTAATTTTCATTTATTTTTTTCACTTAACTTTTATTGCTCACTCAACAGGAGATTGCGACCCACATGTTGAGAACCACTGCTCTATACTGAGTGCTCCTGTTCATTCATAATTGGGGACACAGTAAACATACTATGTCCTCAATTATTTACAAACACTCAATGATCAGCTGTTCGTTTAGTGCTTGTAACTGCTCTCCATCCTGACTCCTTCGGCCTGACATTTTCTCTCCTCCTGTTGGACGCTGCTTTGTGTCAGAGGGGACACTGCGGCACCCAGTGGGGAGGAGAGAAATTATGGAAGCGCCACAATTTTGCCCAAAGTACAATTTTCGGCGGCCGAAATTGTGGTGCAATATAGAACTATATATTACTATATATTTAAGTATCCAGTGTGCTGTAACTATCTCTTAAGTATTACATCAGCATTAATGGCAAAGTTGTAATTCACAACTGTATTTGCACATTTAGAACTCAAATGTGTGCAACCACACTCATTGCATATGAATCTTCCTTATGACTACGAGCCTTGGTTCCCATACATTATACTGATGATGGCCAAAAGCACGAAACAGCTGAGTGTGTTAAGCACTGATTCAGTGGAGGACTTTTCCTTTCCCTTTATCCCTTCTCACCATAACCTTCTGGGTTATGTTTATCAGTTTGTAAAATAAAATATGATATATTTATCTTTTTTTTAATTTAACTGTTCAAATACTTGAATATTGAGATTGACATTGTTATTATTATTTGGCAGACTTCAGAGGCTCACCTTATAACACCTGAGGAAAGAACTCAAGCTCTGCAAGGCCTGCAGTCTATGGGGTGGACGGAGGTCACTGCTAGAGATGCTATCTACAAAGAGTTTGCCTTCAAGACCTTCAACCAGGTGATTTTAAAAATTGTATAAAACATTAAAGTTATTTACAAACTTTTTAAATCAATTCTTAAAGAATAAGTGCATTGTAGTGATTGCACTGGAATCCCTGCATTAAAGTAGTATTAAACTCTCAAACTTTTTTTCATTAATGAATTCAGATCAAACAAATATACATTGGGAAAAAATATAAAGCAATGCTTTGCTGGGCAAACACTTATAATCATCATGTTTCTGAACAGCTGCTTTCAAGTCTCTCAGCTCAGCTTTCCTGAACTTCCTGTCCAGTACAAGATTACAAAGGACCGTGCAGACTCCAGCAGCTGTCCATCTACTAGCTTTGTGGAGACGCACACAGCTTACTAGCACACACAAGGGTGACTGCATAGCACTCTGCTTGAGAAAGGAGTCACTCTAAAACAGGAAGTCAGGACCAGTGCTCAGGGAATCAGCTGATTCTGCAGGAAACTAAAACTTTTAAACATAAAGACTTGTAAGCATTCATTGTAAGTGATATAATCAGTAGGGATGTCATGATACAGAGCATTTTCACGAGTACTTGTACATAGCGCTGATGCACTGATGCCGGTGCTTTAACCACTTGCTGCCCGGATTTATTTCTTACATTTGCACACACATAACAAAATCAAAATTTTTGGCTAGAAAACAGCTTTAAACCCCCAAACAATGATCTATTTTCTGAAAGCAGAGGCCCTGTAGAATAAAAAGATGCTAGTTGCAATTTTTTATGTTGCACGATATTTGCACAAATGTTTATCAAACAAGTATTTTTAGGATAAAGTACACTAAAATTAAATTTAGTGCACAGAAACAGAATGTATAATGCCCAATTTTTTGTTAAAATATAAAAGACGGGGTCACGCCGGGTAAACATGTCAAGCCTTAAAATTGCGTGCATCCGTGAAACCGCAAAAAACTACAATACCCCAAATTTCCCATAGGCAACACTTTAAACGCTTTTATGGCTCATCAGTTTAGCGCTAATAGTGATTGACAGGCCTAGAATTATTGCTCTCACTCCGACGCTAACAATGATATATAACGCGTGGCACAATTTTTGTTTTTGCATGTAGGCGCATCCGACGCACGTTTGTGTTGCATGTGCGTGCAAAAAAAACAATTTTGGCTTTTTTTTATGTTACTTTCATTTTTACAACTTTTTTTATCACTCCGTTTTATTGCTGTTGCATAGGGGGCTAACAATTCCTCTATGTAATAGCACATTTATTGTTACAGGTCCTCTTTATGGAGACATCAGGGGTCTTTCAGACCCCTAATGTCACCTAGGAACCCCAATTACAATTACGTGAACCCGCGTGAAGTGGTTACATTTTTAAATAGGTTTGTGCGCTTGTTCCTCCCTTTATCCAAAACATAGGCTAATCAATTTCCAGTTGACCACATGCGGGTTGGTGAGATATTTATTTCCTCCACTCTACTGCTGTGTAATATTGTCTGTTATGTAATATATAGGAGGGCTGTTTCTGTATCTCTCTGAGGGGCTTCCTTACCGATCTCATCGCTCTGTGGTCGGACCATGCAATTCACATACTGATGGCTGCTGATAGGTGGTGGTATTGAGGGAACTGATTTATATTCCTCTGTCCATTGATATTTGGCTCCATTGGGTCCGTTCTATTGCGATGTAATGTGAACTTCAGGAGACCTCCTGTGTGTATAAAGGGTTCACTGTGGTATTAACTAGTGATGGGCTGAACACACCCCTGTTCGGTTCGAATTTGAACTTTAGAGCATGAGAAAAGTTTGAACTTAATGCAAGTCTATAGGGGTAGAACTTTAAAAATCAAATGTCCCCATTTTGAAGCCTTGTATTCATGTTATTGGCCATAAAAAAAGGAATGGGGATTTGGGTACTGCCCTGGGGGACATTAATCAATTACCTTTTTTTTTTTTAAATACCGTTTTTAAAGGAGCAGTGATTTTAATATCACTTAAAGTGAAACAATAAAAATGATTTAAAAAAACCTTTTAAATATCGTGCCCGGGGGGGTCCCCTTAGACTGTCTGTAAAGTGGCAAATCTGTACAATGTATAAAACCTGCTGCAGCAAAAATGAAATTCTAAAGAAAAAAATTACATTTAAATAAAAAAAAAAAGTGTGCAGTTCCCCCTCTCAAACAATACCAGGCCCTTTAGGTCTGGTAGGAATGTTGGGAGAGACCCCATTTTGTTTTTAAAAAAGAGCGTGGGGTTCCCCCCAAAAGTCATACCAGACCCTTAAAGGATCCCGCACATCCCTGGTGACCCCGCAAACAATGTCTGGTGACCCCGCACATCTCTGGGGACACCAAACAATTGCTGTGACGCCAAGCAATTTCCAGTGACCCCCCACATCCCCGGTGACACCGCTTTTCTCCGGTGACTCCACAAACCCCGCAAACAATGTCCGGTGACCCCGCACATCTCCAGTGACACCAAATAAGCTCCAGTGACCCTGCACATCTCTGGTAACACCAAACAATTGCCGGTGACTCCAAACACTCTCCCGTGACACCATACAATTTCCGGTGACCCCACACACCCCCGGTGACCCCGCACATCTCCGGTGACCCTGCACATCCACCGTAACACCGCTTTTCTCTGTTGACTCCAAACAATGTCCGGTGACCGCGCACATCTCCGGTGACACCATACAGTCTCCGGTGACCCTGCACATCAACGGTGACACCGGTGATCTATCAAAACTGGAGCAGGCAAAATCTGGAGTCATTGCCCAAGAGAGATGCTGATTGGTTGCCATGGGCAATGGCTCCAGATTCTGTTTCCTTCAGTTGTGATCAATTCCCCCCAATGTCTTTGTATCTGTTCTAACCGTCATCTCTGTAAGGCCCCATTCACACCTAGGCGTATTGTAATATGCGCGTCTGTCGCGCGGTTTTTTTACCGCGATTCCAAAGGCTACTTGGCTGTATCCCAATGGAAAACGCCCTACAAAACGGCCCAAAGTAGTCCCGGGACCTTTTCAGGCGTGGGCCGTTTTGTAGGGCGTTAGGGACGGGCGGAAATACGCCGAGGTGGGAACGAGGGCATTGACTACAATGCAATTGATATTTTTGACCGTTTTGTAGAGCGTTCGTCGAGCGTAGAACGCCCTACAAAACGGTCAGGTGTGAACGAGGGCTAAATGAGAAGAATGGTGAGGGGAGGGGGCACATGGAGGAACCTGGACTTGGGGCAGCAGAGAGTAAATGTGACCCTGGATAACGGGAAGATCCGAGAGACACAGGACACAGAGGACAAGTGCAGGAGATTCTTCCTTACTCACTGACAGGAGATCATCTCCCTCATACACACAGACACACAGAGCTATGACTCATCTCTGCTCTCTCAGAGGGGAGGGGGGGGGGAGTGAGTGAGTAAGGGGTAAAATGGATCCACCAAGGTAATCCAGGGTCAATCACGACGTCCAGTATTGTCCACGACTCCACAAAATAAAAAATAAAACAATAAAAAATAAGTAGAAATAACAATAAAAAAAAGACGTCCACCATCCCATCTGCTTGCGACGAGCTCCCGCCGCATAATGTTACTTTGACAGATGCCGGCAACATATAAACAATTGGGTGGAGCTAACTGTGACAGCTAGCTCTGCCCAACTGTTTACGGTTGTAGGGCATCTGACAGGGGAGCCTTGATTGGGCAAAGTCATCATAACTTTGCCCAATCATGGCTCTCACAATTCCCTGTGCCCTGATTGGGCAAAGTCTTGCACCTGACCTGTGGTCAGGTGCAAGGCTTTAGCCAGTGAGGGCTGCACAAGGCAAGGCATGAACACATGAACTGCCAATTTTTTAGTCAAACTCACGTTTGACTCGAACATCGAGCCCATCACTAGTATTAACCTGAGCAGTGATGTGCACTTTCAGTCTACTGGGGCTTAGATTGTTATCTCGCAAGCTGGGAAATCTCCTTGTGCAGGGTGAGACTGAGAGTGCAATATAGAAGATATGTCTGCACACCATTCTGTTCTGGAATATCATCTTTATTTATATTCCTTTAGCATGACATATGAATGCAACGTTTCGGAGCCTCACAGGACCCCATCGTCGGGCAAATAGAGGCAATATGTCACAATTCTAAACAAGTAAAAAAAAAAGGGAACGTGTAGTGGTTTCTACTGCATTTTTTAATATATTACATATACACTTGGGAAGTGTAGCAGGTAGCATTGGGAGAGACTGTTTTTTGCAGCAAAAGGGTGCCTGATAGCCTTAAACAGTAGCTCAGGTGAGGATAGGTGTGTTTGGCCCAGAAATAGAAGAGGCTGAACTTAGACAGGGGTCCTATTTATGGTGGCGCTTCTGAGGCAGAGTCAGAGACAGACACCTTTTGGGGGGGGGGGGGGGGGCGAGTCTCACATGGGCTGTGCAGCATCTATGGTGGGCTCTGCAGGGTCAATCTCAGGTGGGTCCTGTGTCCAGCGTGTCACTAAGCCCTGCGTTCAGCGCGTCACTAAGCCCTGTGTCCAGTGGCACGGGGGGGGGGGGGCGGTGAAAGAAAGATATACTGGACTCTAAAAGAAAAACAAATGCTCTGGGACACCATAGATGTGTAGGGAGTAAGGGCTGGTTCACACCAAATACAGTGCGTTCCGGAGCGGTCAGCTGTTGGAACGCACTGTATCGCAATCTGGCCTGCGTTCAGAGGCGGGAGGGGGGCGTTAAAGTAATTATTGCAGATCAGACTGGACCGCAATGCAGGCACTGATGTGCCACACGTTTCGGTGCTGGCGATTGCACTGCGGGCAGAGCACATTGCTGCGGTGCCATTGACTTCAACGCACTGCCACGCCCCCTACGCACTGCCACGCCCCCTCCCACCCCTGAACGCAGGAAGCCGGCTGGAATGTGATAGTGTGTTCCAGCGGTTGACCGCTGTGGAACACACGTTTAATGGTGTGAAGAGGCACTGCCACGCCCCCTCCCGCCCCTGAACGCAGGAAGCCAACCAGAATGTGATAGTGCGTTCCA